TGTGATTCAGATGAAGAAATGGAGTTGAAATGATCAAAAATGGTGAAAAGGAGCAATTTTGGGTTTCTCGGCAAAATGATGTACTGATGGCCGAAGATTCTCGGCCAAAATCCTTCCCGCGGGTAGCTTTCTCGGCCAAAAACACGTACCGCGGTCAAGTCTCTCGGCCAAAATTCCCGGGTGCAGCTACATTTCGGAAATCGCATCACCGGAAGATCTTGCCGGCCGATTCAGCTTATAGAGTCTTCATCAAAGTTGGAGAGGTTTGGATCACGGTTCCAGAGCAAGTAAAATCATGGAATTCGGACACGTGAGCAGAGAGTTAAGCTCGTCGGAAGAAACTCCTGTCTCGCTGCCGTTTTGGACCGACCCGATGAGCTCCGAGTAATGGGAAGGACGGTGCACTTCCAGACCGAATCAGTTTACGGGGCCTTCATGAGAATCAGAGATATTTGAGTCCTATTTCTAGAACGTCATATAACATTCAATTCGGAGCTATGATCAGGAAGATACGGTCTCCGGAATGGACACATGTCTAGACGCCTCTCTCTGATCGTGTAAATGCACTCCAAAGATGAGCCCTCCAGAAAGCCTTCCACTTCCCAAGAACCAAAGATTCCTTCACCAAAGTTGGATATATATGAGTCCTCTGTCCTCTGCAACTGGAATCACTCAATTCGGACAAGTATCGTAGAAGTTACACTCTCCGGAATGCGAAGTGGTCCAAGCTGCTCTGAATGCTGCGAGAAAGCCTTGCGACTTGGTTAACTCGCAGGCCTGAAGACGAATGCCTGGAAATTGATGCTGCGAGTTGAGAAGTGCGGGTAAGCTATCAATATATGAGGTCTGAGGCTCCCGAGCAAGAAAATTGCTAAGTCCACAATACTGCGACTTGGGCGTGCTACCTAGGAACAAGAGAAACCAAGTCGCACATACACTCTCAATTTACTCCTAGTTAGGTGTGCTACCTGGTGAAAGAGGTCCAAGCCGCAGTAAAAAGAGGAATGGCCGAGTTGTCTAAGTCATAAAAGCTGCGGCTTAGTCGTGCTACCTGGGAACAAAGAAGACCAAGCCACACATACACTCTCAATTTACTCCTAGTTAGGCGTGCTACCTGGTGAAAGAGGTCCAAGCCGCAGCAAAAAGAAGAACGGACAAGATGTCTAAGTAACAAACCCTACGGCTTAGGTGTGCTACCTGGGAGACACTGGACCAACCCGCAGTAATTCCACTTTACCCACTAAAGCCGGGTCAGGACCCGGTTTGTTCAGGGCTGACCCGGTTCATTAGCACTTAGTATATATAGCTTTTTGGAGAAAAACCCTAAAAATGTTATCTTCTCTCTTAGTTTCTCTCTAGTTTTCTTTCCTTTTTAGTGTAAAAACGTTTTTGATTAAGAGATATCTCAAGTATTTAATCAATTTAAGTCTGTTTCTTATCATCTCATCATCTCATTTCTACTTCTAATCATGATTAACATCATCTCTTGCAAAAGATTAGATGTGTTCTTCATGATTAGTGAGTAGTCATCTTTTTAAACTTCTAGGTGTGTAGATTAGGGTGCTTAGATGTTTGATTTGTGATGTTTAGGGTTTAGATTCTCATTTTATTTCCTTAGTTAGCTGCTCCTAATGCCAGATTTCCTTGGGAAAGTGAAATCTGGGTTCATAGGCATTTCATGCACCAAAAGTGTTTGATGAAATGCCTGAAAGAGCTAACTTAAGGGTTTATGTTTTAAATGCCATGGGAATGTTTGGTTGAAGCATAAATGACATATTAGAACTGTTTCTTAATGCTCATTAGTTCATATTTCACAAATGAGAATTTGGTTTGAAAGTGGATTAGTGTATAGATTAATGCCTTCATGAGAGGATTAGTCTAGATTAGAGTTCTAAGTTGAAAATGTTTGAGATCATGTGATTGCTTGTTATGTCTTTCTGTATAAGATTCAGTCTTCTTGGTTGAGAGATTGTTTGGTCACTTATTAGGCTTGATGCATTATGCTTGTTGATTGTTTGGATTATATCTAATGGGTTGTTAGACTTGATTAGTGATTTAGCAAAGGGGAATTATTGTCATGGGAATGGAATTAATCTGATTAGAAGCCTTAGACTAAAGAGTAGCCAGGTATTGCATT